ATGCTGTGCCACAAAGAGAGACAAGGTGCAAGGAACAAAAATATTGGTGGTAATTTTTGACTGTGACTTTACAAATGGCACTCCATACTTGGTGTCTTCTTTTATCACTTTTACTGGCATCTTGTATCAAACAGAGGCAGGAGAAAATATATTWATTTAAAAAAATCAAAGGATAGAAACAATTGGGGTTAAGACATGCTGTGCCACAAAGAGAGACAAGGTGCAAGGAAGGAAAAAAAGTTTCTTTGGAGGCAAAGAGATGGAAACATCTATAGGGTCTTGTGGGTACGTACCAGGGAAAGCAGGGGTGGTCTGTCCGAGGGGGGTAAAGGGGGTTTGCTGCATAGCCAACTGGTGGAGCTTGGTCAACTGCTGAAGGGTTAGGAGGGAAAATAGAACTAAGAGGTTACTGTTTCACAGGTCACACCGAAAATAAAAAAAGAACTAAAAGTGAAGAAACAGTGAGGAGAAGATGACACAAGGTGGTGGAGGACAAAAAGGAAAAAAAAAATACACAGACAGGGTGTTTTTCTCCCATAGAAGTAGAAATTGCCAATAAAACTGTCTGATTCTGTACAATTTTCACATTTTTTGTCACTTTGTTATTTCGCTTCCATCAGTTGACAGGTGTCTTCCTAAATGACACCTTTGATTCAACCTCTGGTTCTACACGCCCGTCAGGAGCAGCCACTCTCCTCAGAACATGATCACAGGTTGTCCGTCCCCAACTGTGCAGCAGTTTCATCCCCAACAAAGGAAGGCCGCTTCTTARAGGCATCTTCGCCTTTTAAGGGGCCTTTTTTTTAATGAGGGTGGAAGAAGGGTGTCAAGCCTATACTTGAGTGATCGAACCGTCACCCACCGCTTCCACAGACATCCATCACCGGCCAACTTTGAATTAGTGGATCTGACACAAGGTGGTTTTTGAGATGCTCTAACAACAAGGCCAGATGAAGGCAGATTGACGTAGACTTTCTGGTCCAATGAAATTAAAGGGGCGTCTACGTCAAAACTGTCTCTGCTTTCACTGTTAGCGCCTGTTTTGGTTTTGATTMGATCTTTCTAAGGGTTGAGCGGCAGTGTGACCTTAAACTGAAGACACAGATATTTCTGAACAACTGGTGTGTTTATGCAACCACATGTTGGATAGTATAATTAACAGATGACTGAGCACTTACRTCTGGATGTGGTATGGCATACTGTCCCTGAATTGTGTAGGCCTACAGAGAAAGCAAACACATTAGAGAAAGCTTCAGCAAAGAGCATCAAAACCATTTCAATAAGCAAAATTAATGTTTGCATTAATCATAATGATTTGTACCATATTTTGAGCATACACAGCATGTGCTAAGTGCAYAAAGTTCAATGAGCACATCGAAATCATAAAGGAGAAGCTGAGTTGTAAAATGTAAGGATTTAGCAACTCTTATCCATTTGAACCAGAGATACCATCCTGATGTTGGCTTTCACCAGGTGTTGTGATGAATGCAGCTTCACAATTGTCACTCAGTGTCGCACAGAAGTGCAAGTGTCTTACCAAAAAATTACTTTGGTAAAAGTTAAAGTCTCCGTTAGGAATATTACTTGAGTAAAAGTCTTAAAGTATCTGATAGTTTTTGTACTTAAGTATTAAATGTGAAAGTATTGATTTAAAATGAGCAGTTTGGTTTTATGTAATGACATGGTGGTCCTTTGGAGTGCAGGGGACACTCCTGAAGACCTTCTTTGACACAGTTGTGGCTTCAGCCATCTTTTATGACATCATATGTTGGGGCAGCAGCTTATCTACTGTATGCTGTAGCTGATCTGCAGAGCTCCTTCAGTGACAGACTGCTGCACCCTAAATGCACGAAGGAGCGTTACCGAGGATCCTTCCTCCCATCAGCTGTTAGACTCTATAACCAGCACTGCTCATCCATGCTTGTATTTGCACATTAAACAACTCAGCTTTCAGTTATTACATAAATAATACTCTGTGGCTATTTTACATCTATTTTCCAGCACTGGAACACTGCATGGGTCTGTCATGACTGTTTTCTTATAATTTTTACATGTGGTCACATGACCACATGTAATTTTTTCTATCATATTTTCATTTTGATGTTATTTAAATTTTATTGCATTATACAGTATTTTATTAATTTTGTTCTTGATTTTTGCTATTT